GGGGGGGGGTGACAAACGCCATGACACGAAACTAATAGTTGTTTACGAACGCGTTTTCAGAGCCAAGGATCATGGGTTGCCCGAGCCAGGGCGTCGACCGAGCTTGAGAGGGCCCCTGGCCCCCTTGTAACTCCGCCGATGCCCGCCCACAGCGTTAACTGCGAGGACGGGTTGGCAGATGTAAGTTGCTATGACGTCCACCTCAACATCATCTGTGTGGTGCAGTTTCTAACAATAAACGTTTATTTTGTTCCAGTATCACCTAATGCTGCACAGGGCATCGCCCCTACCTAGCCAGCTGTTATGGCAGCCACCAACACCCTACCCCGAGCGGGATTTGGAGGAGCTTGTTGACGCGGCCCCGAACCCTGTTGCTGAGCTCCCCGCAGCCCTCCCGGCTCCCTATTTGATTCCGGGGCCAGCAATCATTCATGAGGAGGAGCCCCAAATGGCCACCCTCGACCTCACCCCTCCCCCTCTCGTCATCAACATCTCAGACGACGAGGTTAGTTTCAACACACGCCTTTTCTTTAATGCCATAGTCCAGTGGAGAGACGAGTGTATAAGCAGATGTGATTGTTACAGGATGATGAGCCCCTGGCCCAGGCCCAGGCACAGGAGCCTGCCGCCGCCGTGGCCTACTGGCCGCAGTGGCATCAGCCTGAGCCACACCAAGAGGCACCTGTGGACTTAAGGGAGAGGATCGCCCAGCTGCGTGCGGCGAGGCACAGTGCACCCCAACCCGCGAGACTGCAGCCATGGCGCTCGCAGGCCCCATAGCATCGGGGCGGGTAGCTATTGTGGTATGTACATCTCCTCTCTCTTACTGTGAATTGATATTGAGTATCATTCGGCTTACTAACACAGTTCTTTTTTTGTTTCAGATTCCACTACCCAGGAACCAATAGTTCGACTGTTTTTTTTCAGTTTGATTTTTTTGAAAAAATAAAATCAGGATAGCAAATTTTCCTATGTTTCATTTATCAATCCCCCCTTCGCCTGAAGTGCGGAAAGAGTTTGTCTTGATGTTGAGCACTCACTTATATGTAATTAAACTTTGCTTTTGTTTTTCCACACAGAAAACAATGTTTTCTACTGTAGAATCACAATTAAGTTGTGAGAAAATTATTTGAGGTCTTAGACGATACAATTTTTTAAGTATGATCATCACGATTTGGTGTGACGATTGGATTTGAGTTAAAGAGAGGTCACCTACACTTAGTGAATAGTGATATGGAACCATTTTCATCTCTATATTAGTAAAACTTAAAGAAATAATGAACACTTTTTAGGGTTCCCTGGGTAAAAAAACCATGGGGCTGTCCATGAGCCATGGACATAAATTTAACCATGGATTTTTCTGACCATAGATTTATGGAACCAGTAAACCATGAAAACAACAGTTGACCATGAGTAAAAAGTGGATGGATTGCATGGCCATGGCTAATGTGCTCCATGGCAAGGGATGACCATGAGAACTGGCTTTCATGGTCACAACTAAGTCCATGAATGTGTCCATGGTTACTATTACCATTGTCATGTAGAACGTCCATGAACACACGTTTGGACATG